AGATCGCTCATTCGAAAATGAGCCGCCATTTCACGCTTGAAGCTATCAATGTCCTCCGCACGAGCGCCGGTGACGATTAAGTCGTCCACATACACGCCGACGACGAGCTCTTTCTTCCCCCGTCGCCGCATGTAGAGCGCGTGCTCGATTGCGCACCGTGTGAACCCAAGCTCGCCTAGCGTGGCGTCAAGCTTGGCGTTCCACGCTCGTGGGGTCTGCCGCAGCCCATAGAGTGCCTTACGCAGTCGAAGCACCCTGTGCTCCGCTCCCTTGAAAGCGAAACCCGGAGGATGTCTGACAAAGACCGTCTCCGCCAGCTCGCCGTTGAGAAAGGCTGATTTTACGTTCAGGTGATGGACGCGCCAGTCCTTCGCTGCTGCCAAAGCTAGAAGCAGTCGGACAGACTCCATGCGCGCTACCGGTGCAAAGACTTCCTCGAAGTCGATGCCCTCGTGCTGGACAAAGCCTCGGGCGACGAGGCGCGCCTTGTGCTTGACAATGGCGCCGCGCTCGTCCCGCTTGACCTTATACACCCATTTCAGGCTGATTGGACGGCGACCTGTAGGTGGATCGACAAGCTCTCAAGTCTCGTTTTCCTCGATAACCTTCATCTCCTCCAGCATCGCCTGTCGCCAATTTGCATCGCGCTCGGCCAGCGCGAACGTGGGTGGTTCCTCTACACTGACGAGAACAGCTCCAGGTCATTGAGCAGCCGACCTACCAGGCCTGAGAGCCCTATGCCGCCGACGATATCGTCCAGCCTGCGGAACCGCACCTCCTCACCGTCATGGAAGGCATCCACGAACTCAGTGATGTCGCTTGGAGGTGAGGCGAACTCGATCGGCGTCGATGGAGTTCCCTGTTCCGTTGGAGTGCTCAGCACCCCGGTTGCAGTGCTCGACACTACTCCTGGACCGCTCGTCACCACTCCTAGAGTGGTTGGTACCACTGCAGGAGTGCTCAGCACCAGTCCTGGAGTGGTCGGCACCACTACAAGACCTCTCGGCTCTGCTACGGGAGCGTTCGGCACCCGTTCTGGAGTGGTCGGCACCACTGCAGGACCGCTTGGCACCACTCGTGGAGTGCTCGGCACCGCCCCAGGAGTGCTCGGCTCTGTTGCTGGAGTGCTCGGCACCTGCTCTCCAGCGTCTCCACCACCGTGGATGACCAAATGCTCGACGATGAAGGTGCTGGTGAAGCCGCCAGCTTCCCCCGTGCCCGGATTGTTCTAGTCCCAGGCCGCCTTCTCGTCGAACACAACATCGCGTGAGACAAGCACCTTGCCTCCGCGTGGGTCGTAGAGCCGGTACGCCTTGGTACCTTCCACGTAGCCCAGGAGCACTATCGGTGTGCTCTTGTCCTCCAGCTTGGTGAGGACCGGCTTCGTCTTTCTAACGTGGCCGATGCAGCCGAATGTCCGGAGGAAGGACACGTTCGGCGTGTGCCCATACCAAGCTTCGAACGGTGTCTTGCCCTTCAGGGCCTTGGTGGGCGCGCGGTTGAGGATGAACACCGCCGTGATCACCGCCTCAACCCAGAACCTTGCCGGCATGCTCTTGGCCTTCATCATGGATCGAGCCATGCCGACCACCATCTGGTTCCGCCGCGCCACCGCGCCATTCTGTTGTGGCGAGTACGACGCGGTGTGGTGTCGCACCACACCCTGATCCGCGCAGTACACAGCGAACTCCACCGAAGTGAATTCGTCGCCCCGATCAGTTCGCAGCACGCGCAACTTCTTGCCACTCTCCGCCTCCGCGCGCGCCTTAGAACTTCTTGATCGCCTCCGCCGCCTCGTCCTTGCTCGTCAGGAGTTGCAGCCACATATAGCGACTGCAATCATCCACGAGTAGGAGGAAGTACCGCTGACCACTGTTTGTGGTTGGCGTGATTGGCCCACAGAGATCGCCGTGGATGAGTTCGAGAGCGTCCACCGCGCGATACTTGGCCGCCTTTGAGAATGACAACCTCCTCTGCTTCCCGGCCAGGCAGCTATCACACAGCTCGCCTCCGTGCTTGATGTGGGGCATCCCTCTGACTATCTTCTCCAGCCGACCGAGCTCGTCGAAGCTGAGATGGTCGAACCGGGCATGCCACAGCCACGGCTACTCGGTGTGCCGTGCTGCCAGACACACCGGCTGCTTCATCTTCAAGTCGAGCAGGTACAACCGGTTCCGGGACCTCTTCACCTTGGCAAGAAGGCGCTGCTCCTGGTCCCTGATCCTGCGGACGCCGTCCTTGACCAGTACCTCGCTGCCGCGCTCATCCAGTTGGCCAATGCTGATGATGCTTGAATGCAGCTGCGGGATGTAATATACATCCGTTAGCGCGCGGTGCTCGCCGTTCTGGCACCTGAAAGATGATGGTGCCGCGCCCTTGGATCTCCACCCTTGAGCCGTCACCGAACTTCACCATGCTGGTCACGTCGTCGTCGACCTCGGAGAAGGCTGCCTTGGAGCCCGTCATGTGGTTGCTGGCGTCGGAGTCTAGGTACCACCGCTGCTCCTGTTCGCCGCCCACACGTCCGAGGTGGACTTGGACGCGCGGTTCGTCGAGGTAGATAGCTTTGAGAGCCTTCCCAGGCCCTTTCACCGCCGTCACCTCTCCCTTCTCCTTGGCCTCAACGTCGTGCAGTGCACATAACGTCGCCATCAGGAGAGTGACCTCATCATCATCATCAGCCTGCGCCAGATGAGCCTTAGCTTTCTTCTCCTGCTTGCGATTTAGGCACTCCTTTGTCCAATGACCCGTCTTCCCACAGCGCCGGCAGGCGTTGGGGTCGACCTTCTTCTTCTTCTCCGAAGAAGCCTTGTAGCGGTGCTTGCCATCGCCACCGCAGCTGGAGGAGACTTCCCTAGAGTTCCTCCGGGCAGCCACTCCTCTGTCAGCAGCAGCTTGCCGCTGTCCGTCGTTGTTGTGGCCTGCTCCATGCGCTCGTCCACCGTCCGCAGACGGCCTATCACATCCTCAATGGTGAGGGTGGACATGTCCAGCATCGTCTCTATAGAGAGAGCGATCTGGATGTAATTCATCGGCACTGAGTGGAGGTACTTGGAGACCGCATCTTCTTCGTCGACAGTGACACCGTGGCTCCCCAGCTTGCTGATGAGCGACTGCAGGCGGAGAGAGAAGTCCTTCACCGACTCACCATCCTTGAACTTCAGGTTGGCGTACTCCTGCTTCAGCAGCTGGGCTGTCGCCTTCTTTGCGTGATCAGAGCCAACGCGCATCGCTGCAATGGCCTCCCACGCCTCCTTAGCAGACTTCTTCGCCACCAACGGCTCTCGATACTCCGTAGGCACAACAGCGATGATGGCCTCCAGCGCTGACATGTCATCTTTTACGTCGGTGCCTTTGTCGATGGCGTTCCAGAGCCATCGGGCTCTGAGCTTGACCTTCATGGTTACCGCCCACTCGCCATAGTTGGTGCGAGTCAGTGTCGGCCAACTGGTGCCGCTGACCTCCTGCACCGTGCGCACAACGACCTCCTGTTGTGGCTGGGCAGCCACAACAGCGCCGTTGCTGTCACCCATCTCTAAACTGTCCGTCATCGCCAGCTGTTAGTCCGGCGACGGCGCTTGTACGGCTCCGATACCACTTGTTAGCCCCTTGCATCTCCGGCACGGGTGAGCCGACCACTCACCAGCATTGCCGACCACACACTATTGCTAGAGGTAGACGAAGGGAGGGAGAACAGAGCACACACTCAGCACAAGCACCAACGTTGGCCGAAGCTCTGCAGAGGAGATGGCAAAACTGAACTCGCTCTCTTTACTGAGTTGCAGTGGGAAACTATATATACAACTCTACCCATCTAATCCTAGTACACAGACATGTCAGGCTGTCATGCTGCTACAGTGACTAGATGTGACAGCAGGGCTGACTTTGACGCCTGCCCCTGCTGTGGCTACAGTGCGGCAGGGGAGCCTTGCGGCGCCTGCCCCTGCAGCGGCTACAGTGCAGCAGCAGGGAGCCCTTTCGGCGCCGTCTGTCCCTGCCGCGCGTTCACACAAGGGGAGCAGCAGATTATTAACACGCCCTATCTCGATCACGTTCTTCGTATATGGAGCTTCGTACTTGGACTTTTCATCAGATCCGAGTAGATTAGGTCGCTACAATATGTACAACAAAAATTAACTCGTACTGTGAAATCCAAAAGTCTAGCTTTGAGATAGGAGAACAATTAGATGTGCCTCCACCATGTTTGCTAAAGAACCTAGGTGTCTGTACAATGTGTATGTGATGGCTCTGGTGCGTGATAAACAAGGACAATAGTTCCACACTCTTCCTCAAAAACCTGGGTACAATATCTATAATCAGTAGAATTCCCAGTCCAACAACAGATGCACTATATTGTGTATTCAGTCGACACAGCAACTTTAAAAGACCACAAAAGAGTGTCAATTCATCATCTGTTATAAGTTTTATTAAATGTTCAATAACACATTTAACGAAATCAGGCAATAACCAGCACTGGAGGCTCTCCAGAACTGGGTGCAGAATGGATTTAAGAAACCATTTTCATCCTCTTACACGAGAATGCATATACATCACTATTCTACAGAATCTGTAGCTCATAAATTCCAAGTGTATTTCACGCAATGAAGTGAGTACATGCAACACACATAAAAAGCATAAAGGCATTCGGCTTAATTTGGGCACAGATAACAAAGTTCAACACACTACCTAATCCAACATTTACACTTCTTGGTTGTACTCTTTTCACAGTATCCACGGCTTGTGTGGATTCTTCTACCTAGTTCTTGTACCTCATCACTTTAATTCTTCCTATAAGAATTTTGCTTCCTGGTTTAAAATTTAAACCGAGTTGTCTAATTGCTTCAATGACTTGATAGCTAAGATGGTGTTATTTTTGGTTCATGTTAAGCCACAGGGACAACAAAACAGTTCAAGCAGGGACTGGGACCTGAGATAACATTATATGCACACTGTTCTCAAATGAATAACGATCAAAAAAATGTTGGTGAAAAATACCTGCTTCAACTCCAGTCGACATACTGATACAGTGATACTACATGAGGTGAAACTGATATTCGGTAGTACCAGCTAATCGCAAGCAATCTCCTCTGACCTGTTCAAGATTACACAAAGCATCAGGCAAAGAAAACGAAATGGATAAAAAATTAATATTTAGAGTTTCTTCTGCTAAGATGAAACATACCCATTGAAACAGACACACATCAATGCATGCTTACACTACCGCAAGACGCAGCAGTACTGCTCCCAAATTCCAGAGCCTTGGTTCACATAATTTCCAATTTAGGAAAGGGATTAAGAGAATGCTTGATATCAAGTTCATATGTTCCAAACACAACATCATGCCCCTTCTCTACAGCTGCAATCTATAAAAGAATCACCACCATACCTCACCCCCCACCACACACACAAGCAGAAAGCATAACTCATGTTACCTGTGCTGCCTCCAATAAGGAACTGAATGCCAGTAACCAAAAGTGGATGCTGCAAACTGTATGCAAACAGCGAATGGCAAAGGTAAATGTGGAGCACAGATCTCATCTTACATCAGTCTGAGTAAATTCATTTGTTTTCCACTGTAAAAATATACTGAGATAGCTGCAACCAGCATCATGGAGCACAGATTGCAATGTTAATCCAATATCAGCTGTTCACTGTGTGACATTCTGTGCAATTCCGATTTTTGAACACATCATCAGCTGCTTATTGATTCCATTGAAACCCGAACAAGTCTTAGTAGTTCATTCACATTGTTGAAGTTAAGATCCAAGACTGTTTTTACTGAAGCAAGGCCATCATCAACACCACCTCTTTCCTTACTCCCAGCAGCAGATGCAATCACAAACTCTGCTTTTCGAGTTGCATCGAATGCCAAGTTCACATCATTTGTCTAAAACAGTCAAGAGAGAAAAAAATCAATATATACAGACACTATTACCGAATGGTGATGCACTGAAGTGGCATTATCCTAGCTTGGTTTGATATATGCAAATCAGCCTTACAGTAATATACAGTTAGTGCTGATGGTTAAGAAACACAATCATAATCTACTTAATTTCAGGTTACTCGCGTACCTCAAATGGTATGGCCATATGACAGCATGAGAACAGGGGGCGGGGGAAGCTTATTCTTCTTCAGTCAAACTTAAATTATGTGCAGCTACTCCAAAATTCTCAACTTCATTTAATTTAGAGGCTTCTACTCCCTCTGTCCCAAAAAGAATGTAAATCTTGTTTCCCGAGGAATCAAAGAATCTTAAGTTTGACTAAGTGTATAGAAGACATTATCCATTTGGGTCTCTATTTAGGTTTATTATGAAAATATATACAATGATTAATCTAATGATACTTATTACACATCATAAATATCAGTATCTTTTTATATGTATGTGGTCAAAATTAAGAATGTTTGACTTCTTAGAAAACGAGATTTACATTCTTTCTGGGACGGAGGGAGTAAGTTCTAACTCATATCGTCATCCGCCATTGCTATTGCTATGCTCAAACACAGCCATTATAATGAAAATGGGTGCCATTAAGTGTATTGCCAGTGATCAGATCCTTGTGATCCGCATGGTTTTATTACCAACCAAAATGCTAACAACAGCCAGGGCAGCTACCTAATGAGGGCCTGTTCTTGTAACCTAACAAAACTTTTCTTCTTCCATTACTGAAATGATGTGTAGATCTCTTGCGCATTTCAGCAAAGAAAAACGAGAGCCAGTGCCACTTCCAATAATTCCATTGATACTGTAATCATAGCTTGGCAATATAAAGCCTTGCAAGGGAGTCTTGAATGCTGGAGAACTGACTGGCCCAACCTTAACTAACACCTTATATCGTTATTAGTAATACTGATAGATGCTGCAGTACCAAACTCCTTATTTATTTCCACTGTGAGTATTGTTAATACAGAATAACTATAAAAAAAAACTAAATCAGATTATATAGTATTAGAAGGGCGGGCCTGGTGCAAGCGGTAGAGTCTTACCGCCTGTGACCGGAAGGTCCCGGGTTCGAGTCGCGGTCTCCTCGCATTGCACAGGCGAGGGTAAGGCTTGCCACTGACACCCTTCCCCGGACCCCGCACAGAGCGGGAGCTCTCTGCATGGGTACGCCCTTTTTAGATTATATAGTATTACATTGCGATCAATTCTGCCTGCTAGAAATAGGCCCTGACATTTCACACTTAGAAAGTTACAAACAAGATGGCAACAACAAATTGAAATTCAATTTCGAAAATGCTTCTCATTCAGGGACAGAAAGTTCTACCAAGTCAATTTGTTCTTGTTAACAGCCTGTTGGGACATTTAAAAAGGTGCCTGGCACATGGGGTGAATTGCCACCCTTCAATGAGGCCTTTGATAATCCATGGCTATTTAAATTATCAATATCTAGGGCAGAAGATGATGGTGATTCACCTACATAACAGCAACACATTAAATGCAACAACAACAACAAAGTCTTTTAGTCCCAAGCAAGTTGGGGTAGGCTAGAGTTGAAACCCAACACATTAAATGCAAATATAGAAAAAGTTCACAGAGGCACAAAATTGTCATGAAATTATTAAAACAAAGTTTGATAACATGTACTCCCTCCGTTTCAAATTATAAGTCGCTTTGACTTTTTTGGTACATCCATTTTGCTATGTATCTAAGTATAATAATATGTTTAGATACATAGCAAAATAAATGAATCAAAAAAATCAAAGCGACTTATAATTTGGAACGGAGAGAGTACTATAGAACTTGCAAGAGAAGAGCAATGAAGCAATTAAAAAAATGTGTTATACTAAATACATGCAGTGCAAATAAAAAACCTTCCAGATTTCAAAATAACGTTAGTCTGAGTGGAAGGCCTGTGTCAGCATCAGGTATAACCAAAATACCTGAAGTGTAACACCAGGGTCTTGTATAAACTACTACTACTTCTGTCTCACAAAGAATGTCTCACATTTCGAGGACAAATTAGTGAACAATTAAAATGACACATGTACCCCTATGCTTTTTGTTCCCTCCATGTGTTGGTTAGACCAAGGTGAAGGGTGGGCCTGGTGCAAGCGGTAGAGTCTTACCGCCTGTGACCGGAAGGTCCCGGGTTCGAGTCGCGGTCTCCTTGCATTGCACATGCGAGGGTAAGGCTTGCCACTGATACCCTTCCCCAGACCCCGCACAGAGCGGGAGCTCTCTGCGCTGGGTACGCCCATGTGTTGGTTAGACCAAGGTAAATGATTGTATCCACAAACTCTATACTATATTGCCATCATGCTCCTATATAACACTACTTTTAGGATATCATACCTATAGTTGAGGGCCTGACATACTAGTCCTAAGCTAGAGTTGCATTCTTTTTGGGACAGAGGGTATAGACTATTTCTGGCATTTGCCTAGCCACAATAGCTGGATTTTGTGTTGACTTTAATGATTCTAACCAAGTTTAGGGGACTTATTAGAAGATTAATGATATGAGGATTTTCTTCAGTTACACCACGATAACCAGTACAAAGGACATTGAATACAAAGCATTCAAAGAAATAAATTAGGTTTCCAGAAGATTGAATTATTTAAAATTTGAAATTCTATTGCACAAATAAGGGTCAAAAGTTGTTTGTGCATCAAGTACCTCGGGCTATCTGTACAGCTGCCTGCAGTTCCTGTCGATCTTTGCTTGCACTACGGTGTTTGTAGTATGCAGCCTTGAGGTAAGCAACTTCTACACACTTATACGCTAAAGCAGCAGCAGCCATTTTTTTGCACCGTTCATATTCATAAGCACAAAAACTGGCAAGTGAAAGAACCTCATTTAGCATGTAACACACTTAGAACAACATGACTATGAAAGTATCCACAGCAGCAAACTTAGAAACAATTTCTGTGGAATCATGAAAGTATCCATAGTATCCATAGCAGCAACATGACTAAGCAGCAGCAGCATCTCAACTACTCCTTAGGCATTAAAAACTTAATTCAATTCAATATGGATTGGAGCGACGAGTAATCACTATGTGCCTACATTCATATAAAAGCCACAATTAAATTAGTTTAGCATATCCAAATTAACTGTTGGATGGTGTCAAGAAGAAAGCTAATCTAAATTCGTAGTTTTACCTTAATACTTTTTAGATAATGAGTTTTACCTTAATATAGTTCTACTCTATGTTCTTCATTTCACAACCGCAATGAAATGAGTCCACCAGGTAATAGCAACTGAATATCATAAAGACAAAGTGTGTGTATAGCTTACTTGCATAATTTTGCAGTTTCAGAGTACATCTTCATTGACCGAGCTCCATCACCTGGCCTTGAAATGTCAAAACTAGGAGTTTCTAGAAGAAACGCAACATGCAGAAATTTCAAAGCCGCCTCAAAGTACAGACCTGTACTTTCGAGTTCTTGTCCTTTATTCTGCAGGGAGATTTTTTCCCAGAGAAATTGTAAGGAAAAATTCATATCATGAGACAATGGTAGATCATAATGATATAAAATTTGATGCATTGAGGGTGAACAACCTTCAAATCATTCGCCTTATGCTTTAGATCTCTAGCTTCCTTGAGAGCAAATGTAATCATACTACCATCCTTGTTGGACTTGTGCCCAAAATACTTGAAGTCGCTTGCTTAACAGTGCCATGTTGCACTCCAGTTTCCACATTGAACCTCACTAACTTTGCTTTCATTTTCAATGAATCAGATTTTACTGAAGTAGGGCAGACCTTTTGTTTACCTTCTTTCAAAGGAAAATTGACAACTTGATTAACAGGGTTCTGAATATCTTGATTATCGATTCTAAGGTGAAGTTTTTCTTTTTTAAATGACATGCGCAGCCGCTGAGCAGTTCCACTACCTTTGTCAATGTTCTTACTTTCATGTTGAACGGGACCAGACTCAGTGTTCAAAGCTGTAGCCATTCTGTCAAAAGAATGCTGATCAGGTAGCGGTGAACGGCCCTCCATATTAAAGTCCTTTTTATCACCAGAAGGATGTTCTTTCTTCTCACTGTGAAAGGGTACATCCAAAGCATTAACATTCTTGACGTTTTCCAATAAATCATACCGTGAAGCAATATTTTCCTTGCGTAAAGACATGTCACTAGTTTCATGTGAACCCTTCATTGTTTTTGCCTTTGCAAGCAAAAATTTAGGTTCATCAGGAACTTCCACACCATCTGAATCACACATGTGGTCCTGGCCTCTGTCAATTTGATGCCAATCCTCAATTTTAGTTTTCTTATATGTTTTCTGTTCATCTTGATCAATCCCTATTTTAGTCTTTACCTTGGGATGAGCCTTGGTCCTTTCCATAATACCTCCTGGGCATAAACAATGAAATTATGTGTCAGCAAGAAATTTGGATAACGGAAGGCAACACAGAATGAAAACTGTAGAGAGATAATGCACCGCACACCCAATAAGGGGGGGTGGCCTTTCATATATATAGCCAAGAAGGCTTGGAGTACAAGTATATGAAGTACAATATAAGTCAGGCTATACATATCTATTTATATCTCTAATACCCGCCCGCAGTCGCAGCGGGATGATCTCGGACGCAAAGACTGGACCTAAAATCAGTAAACAACTGTACAGGCAAGCCTTTGGTCATAATGTCCGCGAATTGGTGGGATGAAGGGACATGGAGGACTCGAACTTGTCCTAGAGCAACCTTGTCGCGAACAAAATGAATGTCAATCTCTATATGCTTCGTGCGGCGATGATGAACAGGGTTACCCGTCATGTAGACTGCACTGACATTGTCACAGTATACAATCGTCGCCGAAGTAAGAGGAGTGTGAAGCTCCTGAAGTAGTTGACGAATCCAACAAGTCTCAGCAACAGCATGGGCGACAACACGGTATTCAGCTTCCGCGCTGGAACGAGAAACTGTAGTCTGCCGTTTGGAGGACCAAGACACCAGATTGTCACCAAGAAAGACACAGTATCCAGACGTAGACCGCCGAGAATCAGGACAACCAGCCCAATTAGCATCCGAGTATGCTGTGAGAGTGTCAAGAGACCCGGTACCGAGGTGAAGACCTGTAGACAGTGTGCCCTTGACGTATCGCAAAATCCGCTTGAGCAGCGCCAGATGAGGTTCACGAGGAGAATCCATAAAGAGACAGACCTGCTGAACTGCATAGGCAATGTCGGGCCGAGTCAATGTGAGGTACTGTAAACCGCCGGCGAGACTCCGGTATTGTGTTGGATCGGCAACTGGTGAGCCATCGGTGGCTGACAGTTTGGCGTGTGCATCGAATGGGGTGGCTGTAGAGTGACACTCAATCATACCAGACCGCTGGAGAAGATCAACTGCATACTGCCGCTGTGACAGGAAAAGGCCGTCAGCAGAACGAGTGACAGAAATCCCGAGGAAGTGATGAAGGTCCCCGAGATCAGTCATGGCGAACTCTGAGTTAAGGCGCTCAGTAATATGGCGAAGAAGAGCAGGCGAGGATGCTGTGAGGACAATGTCGTCAACGTAAAGCAACAGGTAAGCAACACTGGCGCCCTCCTTGAACACAACAAGAGAAGTATCTGACACTGAAGCGACGAAGCCCAAGGTCTGAATGAAGGTAGCGAATCGCTGGTGCCATGCCCGGGGTGCCTGCTTGAGCCCATACAAAGACTTCTGTAACAAGCAGACATGGTCAGGTGCAGCAGAGGACGCGCCAGGGGCTGCCGGTGTAGGGGCAGCAGTACCCTGAAGGACCGGACCGTGCCAGAGGATGGCCGGGTCCAGTGCCAGGGTGTCGTCATCGTCGAAGGTCGGTCGAGTAGAGAGCCAGCCCGGAGCGGCAGCAGGAGGAGCTGGCACAGGTGCAGGAAGACGATCCTGTAATAAAAATCAAGTGACTCCGTAGGTGGTTTGGCAACCGCAAACAGAAAGTGAGTCTCATAAAAAATCACGTGACGGGAGACGATGACTTTGTGAGTGGAGAGATCGAGACAACGATAACCCTTTTGTGAAGAGGGATACCCGATGAACACGCAAGCTGATGAGCGAGGAGCCAATTTATGAGGTGTCGTGGTGTCGTGGCACTAAGATTTGGGTAGCATAAGCAACCAAAGACTCGAAGCAAGGAGTAGTCAGGCATCTTGTGATAAAGGAGGTGATAGGGAATACCATTATTGATGGAGGAAGACGGTCGCCGATTGAGTAGAAGAACGGCGGTGGCTAAGGCTTCGGCCCAGTAAGATGAAGGCATGGCGGCATGAATCAAGAGGGTGCGAACGATATTGTTTAGCGTGCGCAATATCCATTCAGCTTTCCCATTTTGAGCAGACGTGTAAGGGCAAGAAGTGCGAAGAAGAATGCCGCGGCTAGCAAGGAAGGTAGACGTGGCATTGTTGATGAACTCAGTGCCGTTATCCGCCTGAAAACACTGGACAGGCAGGCTGAATTGGGTGTAAGCATAATTAGTAAAATCAACAATATGTGCATGAACCTCTGATTTATGCTGAAGAGGAAACGTCCAGCAATAATGACTATAATCATCAACAAGCACAAAATAATATTTAAATCCAGACACGCTAAGAACTGGAGACGTCCAGACATCACAATGAACAAGTTGAAAAGGTGCTGAGCAGCGAGACGATGAACTAGTAAAGGGCAGCCGTGTGTGTTTGCCAAGTTGACAGGCGTGACAAATACCACGGGCTGCATTATTACAAGAGATAGCTGAAAGTTTATTAAGTGTAGCTATGGCTGCAGGTGCTGGATGACCAAGGCGTGAATGCCACAATGAGGAGGAGATGGCGGCGACATGACAGGCTGTAGCAGGCTGACTGGAATGTGGAAGGGTGTAGAGCTCCCCGCCACTATTGCAACGCAGAATCTCGGTCTTGGTCTGCAGATCCTTAACAGAGAAGCCAAAAGCATCAAACTCAATGGAGCAGTTATTGTCGCGAGTAAACTGACGAACAGATAACAAATTTCGAACAAGATGTGGAGCGACAAGAACATTATTGAGTTGAAAAATATGATCAGCTATAGGAAGAATGGAAGTGCCACGACTAGAAATTGGAATGGAGGACCCATTGCCGACTGTGATGAAGGACGGCGAATGAGGTAGATGGGAAAGAAGTATACCGTCGTGGGGGGACATATGAGATGTAGCTCCTGTGTCGAGGACCCAGGGGCTGGCGCCTCCCTGCAGTGCCATCTGGTTGAGGGAGGCAATGAGAGCGCCCTAATCCCAGCCACCGGACGTAGAAGGCGGTGCGAAGGACGTGTGGGCCTGCGGCAGAGGTGCCATTGGAGGACGCCACTGCGGCTGAGGAGCCCACGGAGAAGGACCAGCCCACGGGTTCATGCAGACCCAAGGACCAGTCGGCTGGACGCCGGGGCCGGGACACCCGCCCAGGAGGCCCGGGGACGCCGTGGGTGGCTGCTGGTGGCGGCTGCCACCGCCGTTGTTGCCTCCACGCGCACCGTAGCCGCCCTTGCCGCCGCCTCCACGCGCACCATAGCCGCCGCCGTTGGGGTTGGTGCCGGAGGACGAGGAGCGGCAGGAAGGGGAGGTGCAGGCTGTGGTCGCTGATGTCGTGGACGGGGCGACGGCAGTAAGGGCGGTGTCGGAGGAGACCTTGGCGTCGTTGGCGAGGCGGATCTCCTTGAGCCGAAGGGTGTTGTGTGCGGAGATGAACGACGGAAGGACCACCGCATTGGCGATGATATCCGCCGTGTTGGCGAAGCGTGGATTGAGGCCGCGAAGAAGGTTGAGGACCAGCTGGGGCTCGGAGACGGTGTGGCCAACGTCGCGGAGAGAGCGTCGGCCGTGTGCTTCATGCGCTGGGCGTAGGCGTCGATGGACAAATCACCACAGGTCATAGAGTGGAACTCTTGACCTAGGGCGACAGCGTGTCTCTGGTTTGCACGAAAACAGCAGTTGGTAATGGCAACAAAGAGATCACGGGCGATCTGCTTCGGTTCCATGGCGAGGTCGAGGACGCTGTCGTCGATGCAGCCATACATCCAACTCCGGACGCAAGCATCTGGTGTGACCATGTGCGATCGATGGGGCGTCTGCGGGATGGAGCCGTCGATGTGGCCAAGTGAGACCGAACTTGCCGCACATAGCGGTGAAGAAGGCAGACCACTTGGTGTAGTTCGGCAGCTTGAGATCAAGGGTGATCGGCACGTGCTGGCGCACGTTGATGGTCGCGTAGGAGAAGATCACGCAGAGGCGGGGCGTCGCCATGGCCGGGCATGGATGGGGATCCGAGAGATCCCGGAGGTCGCGATCGAGGAGGATCCATTGGTGGCCATAACGGGGGGGTAGGGCTAGGCCAGCGGAAGAGAGGAACCCTAATTGGCCCGGTCTATGATACCATGTAGAGAGATAATGCACCGCACACCCAATAAGGGGGGGGGGTGGCCTTTCATATATATAGCCGAGAAGGCTTGGAGTACAAGTATATGAAGTACAATACAAGTCAGGCTATACATATCTATTTATATCTCTAATAAAAACTTATTAGAAGGTATGTGTATCAGACAGATCATACATAAAGAAAAAACAAAAAGGAAAGAACCTTCATCTGAGTAGCTACTGTGATTCTTGTGCTTAGGCTTCAGCTTTTCAGAAATGAGATCAGCTGATTTGCTCACTGGCCTGGGACCATGTTTGCTCACAGAATCTCTCTCGGAACTGTAGCGCGTGTCATCAGTAGTTCTTTCATCTCTGATAGGGTACTGTTGGTTGCTCATGGAAGGAGTCAAAGATGGTGTGTGGTAAGAACTCTCAGCCAGATCTTTTCCATTGCTTGGAGCATTTTTCCTTTTCCTACTACGTTCAAACTGTCCACTTATATTATAGGCGCTGGATGTTGCTGTACCTGTACCTGCAGTATGAGGACTACCTGAAGAAAAAGTTGTGGCAGTCGCTGGAATGGCAAACAATGCATTCAGAGCCTCTGTTGTTTCATCCTCACTGATGTCACATCTATTCATCCCAGGCCTGCAAATAATTTGAATTATTTTTTAGTAATGGAAAATTTGTGCTCTTATTATACTTATGATCCAAGGATCATATGAACCCCATTCTGAAAAGATACTACATAGCTGTTGCATTTGCACACCTCGTTGTACTTACACAGCTCACGGGGCACTTAGCAAAATAGGTGAAAATAGGTGGGGAATTAGAATGCAAGATAATTCCAAAACTAATAAGTATAACGAAATTTAGCTATGTTATAAGAAATGGCATTGAGGTATACGTTTAGTTGATTTTCTCTTTTTCTTCAAAATGATAATTGCTTTGAGTATACGCTAACCGGGTAACTGACAACTCACAAAATGTAAGATGCTCATTTATCATATGCAAACATTGCTGCACTATAAAGAAGGATAGACAAATGGATATACGTGGACCACAAAAAAATCAAGTATTTCAAGCCTAAGCATAGATTTGAACTTACAGCCAGTGAAGCATGGTACATTTCCACTTTTTTGGAAGCATAGAAAGGTTCGTTCCATAGGGTAGAAGACGCAATTTCTAGCATATGTCACAGCGTACCCAGTGGTCCTTGATCACAACTGGTGCAGGAACAGGATCTGCATTCATAGTTGCTACACTGCTGGTCGGCTGCATATACAACTGTCCGTGCTTTACACTGGCTGGGATCTCCTTCCTTGCAAAACCAACTTCAAAGCCATTCTCGTTATTTGTGTTCATCATCTTCTCGTTTTGGCTGGAAGGCACTTGGATGTTAACTTCCTTGTTCATGATTGCACTAGCATCACCTTTATATTTTCTAGTCTTTGTATCCATTTCCCCAGACCCCGCACAAAACACAACAAATGTTACACTACTAATCTATTGCACAATGCTGAGAAGAGACATGTTGCAACCCGAAATACCAAATGATACTCAGAATGTAGAATGGGAAAAAGTTCATACAGTTAACAGTCCTAAATATAGAAGTATCCGTAAACCCTTTAACCCTTGCTAAAAAATTGTACATCTTCAATTTGTTATGTTTAGTCCCATATGGAAATTGATGGTGGGAGATCAGAGATCACAACTCATAAGGTGGGGCCAGCCAGCAGCCGCAACTCTCACCCATTAGGATAGTCTTTTTTTGGGTTAATTTAGACCCAATCCTTTGGTTGGTTATGGGCTTCGGTGGATCTGGGTCTGCTAGGGCACCGGCTCACGAGTATGGTGAGCTAACACAGTTAAAAATAGCCAACACTACTTTTTAATCACCCTGGTTAGCTGGTCTTTTAGCACAGAACAAAAATCAATTAGTGCATATCACGAGACCATGAAACATCTACCATTCAATTTCCTTGTAGAGATGAAGCCATGAAAACGCTCGGCCAAATTTGACAATTGAGGTACCACCACATAGACATGTACCACTATTCATTTCCCGGAATCAAACAGTGAAACAGAGGAATGCACTCCCTCGCACCACTTAAGGGCTTGTTTGGATGCCCATGTTTCCACCTTGATCCATGTGTGTTGAGGTGGGTTGGTGTGGTAGTTTGAATTCCACACCCATCCATCCCAACACACATGGATTGAAGTGGATTAATGAGCATCCAAACAAGGCCTACTGTACTAGGACGCTGAATGTATACTCAGAGCGCTCACTGAACCAAAGCAGGCCAACTGATGAAGTATTGAAGCGCCATGCCAAACCATACAAAGCTCCCAAAACCACTCTGGCGAAGAATTTGGCTGTTGGAGCAGCTCCGCTTACCGAAGTGAATTGGGCCCCTCCCGCACCGAATTCAGCAGCACAAACAAACCACCGCTGAATCAACTGTAGCCCGAGAGCGTGAGGGAGGAGGGCAGCCAGGCCTGGGAGGCGGGGGTACTCACAATGTAGGAGAGCGCGACGTCGGGGTCGATGAAGGCCTCGCCGTCGGTGTCGGAGCAGGCCTCCCCCTCCTCAAGCTCCTCTGTCTCGCTAGCCACCCTGCCGCTCCGGGACCCCGCGCTCTCCCGCCACGCTCCTCGCAGCGACTGCATCCCGTGGCCCACAAGCTGCATCAGCAGGCTCCTTCCGGCCCCGCGCGGGGCCGAGCTGACCCGGCGAAGGTCCTCTCACCGCACGGGGAGGTTTCGTCTCGTCGACGTCTCGATCGAGGTCCTCGCCCTAGGTTTCGACAACCGAAACTTGCTTGCGCGCAGTGCAGTGGCCGTGTCGCGTTGGTAGGTTGGCCGGCCGTGTCGGGATGGCGAAGGTGGGCACGGCGGCCTGTTTGTTTCGGGTTGCGTCTTCTCGCCGCAGCCGCTGTTTTCTTCCTCTCCGGCTTCTCCCGCTCTTCCACGGCTCTACTGAACTACTGATCCCGCTGTTTTTTTTGGGTGATGCGGCCTGCGGGCTGCGGCGGATGGAACCGGCCGAATATTTGGGTGCTCTTTCAGGTAGTCGTACGAGTCATGCCGATCGCGTAGCGCCGTCACGTGGCTACCTACAGGACCGATCAGTGAAATGGTCCAAGGGACGCACGGCCCGTGAATAGCCCAATGCGCGGGCGCACCGGCCCATGAGCATGAGTAAGGGCCCATTTGATACCTCGGATTAGCTCCTGAAGTAGTTTATAGCTTGCTTTGATGGAAAATCCTGACCATTTGCTATTGTAGATATCATACCAACTATAATTTGTTTCGATTCTATTATTATAATAAAGAAATTTGTATATTGGGTTACATGCACAAGCCATTATTCATGAGAATATCATGTTTCACTAGAAGCAAGATACAATTCTTTCATTTTACTTTACTTCAGAATTCCACTATAAATATTTGCTTGGGAGCGGGAACTATGATATTCGAATGAACAATATAATCCCCATACGTAGGGCATTGAAGAAAAATAAATCTTATATGTTTTGTTGCGGTCTAATCCATCATAATCCGTACAGAGATTAGAGTGGATTGAAATGTAGCCAAATAAGCCCTAACGATCGCCTCACCGTAAGTACACAAGAGGCATTACTATGTGGCGATCTTGCTACTTTAGTTGGTAGTGAGCTAAGCAAATTGGGTTATTTGAAATTAGCATTGCTCCTCTAGCTTTATAGTCACACTGTCCTCCTTCTGTTTGCATTGTTATATACTCCGGTCCCAAAATAAAATAAGTGTCCATCTCGTATTTCAAAGAGTTAAACAATCTTAACTTTGACTAAATATGTACTAAAAAAATACTAATATTTATGATATCAAATAAGCATTATTAGATTAATCACGTCATATATTTTCATAGTAAATAAACCTATTTGAAGATACACATGTTGATACTATTTTCTTTAAACCTATAGTCAAAGTTAAGATTAGTTGACTCATCGAAACGTGAGACGAAGATTTAACTGGGACGGAGGGAGTAGTAGTTTAGGCTGATCACCAGGAGCTGGTTGCAACTTGCAAAGATGTACATCAGAGTTTGTTCCCACTGTTCATGCTATTATTGGGCCTGTCTATAGTACAGCAGCTCCAGTTTTGACCGGTCATTTCTAGCTGTGGACATACTGAAGCTATCTGTCTGAGATTTTTTTTATTATTTGAGACTAAATACATACATTTAAGCCACCTTATTTTGTTTTACAAAGTTCAAATCCTGGAGTAGTTTTCGCCAGCAAAAAGGCCGTTTCGTACGTACGTATATGCTCAGAAAGTAGGGGCGCGCGCGCGCACACACACACAAAGTAATACGTGAATGATGGAATCTGCGTGCTTCTCATGACACCATGTTGATAGTACTCAATCTTTTGTGGCTTTAATTTAGTTATTAGGAGTTCTAAGTGACCTTTATCATGGGATGATATATAGTACCAGTAGTGGATCTTACTAATATATTAAGGTGTTGTATGTATAATGTATACCTTGCCTTTAATTTCTCTGGGACTGAGAGCGAGCCATGAACGCTTCCGGATGCGTCTATCTCTCTGTAGTGGGTGCGGTGGTCACGCACGCACAAGGCATTGCGGCAACGCCCCTACCGTAGCAAAAGGAAAGAGCATGAAGACAGGATGATGGACGATATCGACAACGATATATATCCAACCAAGCAATCACTCGGACTAATATAATAATTTATTTACTAATCGTAGTGCAATCAGTGCGCAATCTCATCTCCAACAAAAGCAGAATGCAACAAGCATTTCTCTCTGATCGACAGATGAAGCAAGATGGAGACGAAATAATTAAAGTAATACATGGGCTAGCTAGCTTTATTGACCGGACCATCGGAGAGATTACGTAATAAACTAATGACACCGTACGGACATCCATCTGATCCGGCTATCGATCATAATCATAGGCCTTGTTTAGATTGCCTTAAAATTCTAAGTTTTTTCACTCTCTTTTCGTCACATCAATTTTTGGACATATATATGGAGTATTAAATATATGTAAAAAAAATAACTAATTACACAGTTTGGTTGTAAATCACGAGACGAATCTTTTGAGCCTAGTTAGTCCATGATCGGACAAAGTTTGTCAAATACAAACGAAAAATACTACAGTGTCCAGATTGCAAAAATTTACAATCTAAACAAGGCCATAAGCTAGCTAGTTGATTGATGATAGAGGCGTATACAACAGGCATACGATACAGACAACATATATATTGGTAGAAGAGACAGGAATAACGCGACCTTACACACATACACGCGCATATATGGGCACCACGTACAGGAGACATTCATTCGTACCTACAGTGTACTTGTATATATTGCTAGGCGTCTACTTGTACCGTGGTGCCGCGCGCGATACATATATAGGTCGTCGTACACGCATGCATATATTACTGTATAGTAGTACACAAAATAAAATGAATAATCGAAGGCGAGTAGTTAAGCCCTTTGGCACGGCTCATCCAAAACGGTTTCACCGGTGAAGGCAAAGCCAGTGAAGCCAGAAAAACTAGCTTTTTCCGACTTCTAGTTCATTTTAATCCCGGCTTACAAAACGGCTTCACGCTACAGTTCCTCGATTTACGCAAAATAGATGAAGCCGAAGCTAGCATTAGCCGTGCCAAGAGGCCCTTAGGTCAGTCGTGCATGTAGCTAGCTCCGGAGCATGTGTCGATTGTGCATGGATCAGACCACCTCAACGGCCGTCTGATGCGCGGTCATCATCACCATCGCCGGAGGCGGCGGAAGCGGCAGCGGCGGCGCCCTCTCCGCTGGCAGCAGTGGCGGCGGCGGCGGCATGATGTCCACGACGACGTTCTTGGGCCCCTCGTCGTCGTCGGTTCTCACGGCCACGGCCTCCCCGTCGGCCTCGGCGTCGGCGTGGGCCTGCCGCAGCTGCTGCTCCTTCTCGGCGTCGGCGTCGGCGTCGGCCTGCACCGCTGCCTGCTGCTGCATCTCCGACACGGCGCCGTTCTTCTTGGGGTTCCGGTTCCGGTACACGAAGTAGAGGGCCATCTGGGCCAGGGCGAACAGCAGGCCCAGCACGTTCGGCATCTGCACACACACACGCAGCAGCAGGGCGCTCATGCATGAGTGAACCAATTATTAAGAATCAACTACATATAATATTTTTGCCCTAAAAAGATGAATAGCTAAATATATTTTTCCTGAGATCAACTGGCGGCTAATTAGTCGCAGGTGTGTTTGCAGGCTTTTCAAGAACACGGGAGTTTGGCCTATATATAAGCATCTGATTATACAACACCACTTTATCATCTGGCCTTTTACGCTTGCAAGTACGCATTAATT